TCGGACGTGCCCTCGTGCCTTCGCTTTGCTATATTATTCTGCGGTTCACTGAGGCAGCTGGAAAGGGCGGTGGTACCTCGGCTGAGTGCGCGTTGCCTTGCCAACTGCACCAGCGTTCATCTTGGAAACCCCCACTGTTAAAGCACGTCCTCTCATATCCAGGGGGCCGTCCTGTGGGTGGGATGGAGTTCAGTCCCTTATTTAGTCCCTCATTAGAACTGAGTTCAGTCTTCCATTTAACGTGCGAAATGAGACGGGCCTTTCATTCTGCCGTGATGATCTGGCGCGTTCAAACTTTTTGCAAACAGCTGAAAATGTTGAAGCTTTCGCACTCACATCCCCGCAAACGGGCTTAGAGCAGCCCCAAACGTCGTGCAGACCGCACCGCCGTCCGAGCAGCGGAGAGCCCGCATTCGCCGACAGTCTGGCCGCAGGCTTAGCTTCTTTCACCGCCAGCTGGACGGTGCGTCGCCAGAGAGGACCGCAAGCCGGGCGGGTGGCGCCCGCAGACGCCTCGAACAGCGGCCTTTTTGTCGCCGCCGCTTCTCCGCCGCACGGCGCGAGACCATCGCAGATCCGCTGGCGGTGGCGGTGGCGGTGGCGGTGGCGGCGGTTGCCGCGGCGCAGTCGTCCCAGTGGCACACACTCGGGGATAACTGTAGTCGCCAGAGCGCGCGCCGCCGGCCGGCCGCCGGTTACCGTTAGCGCAGGAGCGGCCGACGGCAGCGGCCGAGGCGCGCCGAGAACTCCCATGACAAACGCCCCACGGTCGCGCCAGACGGCCGGGCACGCTGGCCGCGGCTGACCGCCCGGGGCGTCTTCCCTGCGCACCACGGATTTTCCAGCGCTGTTTGAGAACGGCCCGTCGAGGATGCGATAAGGCGAACGTAGAGGATCGTTGGACTGGTCCGTGTCTTGGATGCATTGCGGCTGCGCTATGCTGTCCGCGAATAGGGCTGTGAAGAACAGAGGCTTCTACTTTCCGTTCAAAGGACATGGTCCAAACATGCTCTTCTGTAGCTCTAGTAAGCCATGGTTGGCAGAAAAGCGGGCCATTCCGCCCACCCCGGCTGCATCTTGCAAGAGGGATCAGATAACCATAACCGGTATGGAGAGCGCCACATTTCTAGCCTGAAACTGATCTGCGGAGGGACTAGTTCATGGCACAAGAGAGCGGTTTAGCCTGAAACAGAGGACGACCTGAGTTGTGTGACTGGCGAATCTCTTTAACCTCGAGCACACCGTGTTGTAGATGAAAAAACATTATAGCGGGGGCTGGCCGATTTGTCGGAACATTGCGTGCGTGTCTTGGCAGCTTTCCAAGCACGGTCGGCCGTCCCGCAGGTCACTGGCAGGCGGCTCCGCCCCGCTCGCTGATTGGGGTCCCTGGGAGCTTTCTCATGAGCTGCCTGGCCACTTGGGCGTGCGAAATAGTCTGAAGGGTCGTTGGCTTTGGCTTGAGGCCGTATTTTGCATGGAAAATGAAGCCAGAGCGGTTTAAACTTTGAATCGCTCAACTTTCTTTCAACGTTTGGCAGTTAAGACGGGTGCCAGCGGTAGATTGCTCGGATGGACATAACTTGCCTTCAAACGTCAGCGAAGGTGATGGTTGACCTAAAGGAAGGTGGTTTGGTGGAGATCAAGCAGCAGGTCGGGGTTTCCGAAAGGACCGGCTGCGAAAAACTGCATTGAAAGTTTGGATGCTGCCCATCTGTAACACAGGCTCATCGCGGAACAGCTACATGACAAGGTTTTGTCTTCGTATGGTGGCTGATGATCTCTGGATCGGAATCACGTCCTAACGTAGCCGGCTCATCCATAAGGCGGATCAATCGCTGACAGCGCGCATAAATTACAGCGCGCCATCTGTTGCATTATCTGGAACCGGTCAGCAGGCTACACCGCGACATCGGCTCCCGTTCGCCAGGCGTTCACAGTATCCATGCGTACTGGCGCGGGGGACTCCACCGCGCAGCCCCGGCCTGCTGACCTCTCCGCCTGCGAGCCCCCTCTCTCCCGCGCGGCGCGGGGCGACCGGCGCTGGCGGTGGCCGACTCCGGGAGGCCTCCGCCAGGCGGGTGGCCGGCGGCCAGCGCTGGCCGATCGGCGCGCGCCCGAGAACCAGATCTGCCTGGATGCTAGCGGCGCCGGGGCGGGCAGGTAAACGGCCTCAGTTGCGCCACCGTCACTCGGCCCGTGAAAGTATCGGCTCTGCAGGAGGCGCCGGCCCGCGCTCGCGCCGCCCGGCGGTGTCATCACGAGGCCTCCGGCGGCGGTCCGGACGCCGGCGCCGGCCGGAGGCGGAGGTCGCGCTCCCCGCGCTGGCCGGGGAAAGGGAGTCCCCGGGGCACCCAGAGCCAGCGGTGGACTCCACAGCCAAGTGGACTCCGCTTGGCCGGCGCCGGGGGCTGACAGGGAAGCTTTGCGGCGACGCGGGCGAGGGAGGACTCCGGGTCACTTGCGGGACGATTCCAATCGGTTACGTCCATTGTTCGCGACTTGTAAGGAAATCTCGGATGTTCGTGGTACTCGTTGAGAAAGCCTGGATCAAGGGTTGTGTAAAGCTGATGGCATGACGATTGCAGCGGGCAGCGGAGAACGGTGTTATAGTGTAAACTTGGCCGTAGTGGGTGTTTCAGTTCGCCCCACTTGCAGGCTGGTTTTCTACGATCATCTAGGGCATCTTGCTCTTGATGCAGTGTAAAGTGTGGTGCATCACGTTCGCGAGCAAGCTACCTGGCTGGTTTGAAATAGGTCACGATAAGAGCATTCATGACGCAAAAGTTCAACTCAGCAGAGTGAGGGCAGATTCTACTTATTTCTGTTAACCTCAAATATATGATTGGTTGAAATACCTGACACCACGCAACATGAAGTACATTGCGAGCTGCAAAAATGGATATGTAACTATCACTTTTGGTGCAAGACAAAGGTTATCATCCCTGCCGTGGTTAGGGGGGCGTAGCAAAGTGTTTATGTTTATCATGCGAGTGCCTCATTAGTTGAAACATCACGTCGACCTTTACTTATGGTAGCAGTCTAACTTAACATGATAAATGCAATAATATGGTGCATAATTACTTGACTAGGAACAATTTTTTGTTCAGCAATGCTTCTTCGAAGTACCTGGTTTGAGGTTTTGCATTGCCTGGGGAATCTCTGCACATGTGACACGCTCTTCTGTTCTTCTGTGAACTGTTCTGTTTTTCTGTTCTTCTGTTCTGTTCTGTGACACGCTCTTCACTAAACCTCAAACCAGCCACACCCTGGCTGATGCTGCAGATGCGCATGGCTACAATTACAACTTCTTGGCACAATTTATTCTGATGATAACTGAAGAGCGAAGCTCCATGGCGCTGACTTCGCCGGCAGCTTTACGCCAAGGCGTTGGACTGTTACGGGACACTTCGCCATCGCGGAAGATGCGTCATCACATGACGTCACCGATTTTTCGGTTCCAAAAGAGCAGCGGCTCGCGATCCAGTTTGGTCATGCAGTTTATCATTGAGGGCTTAGGTGACTGCGCGTCCAGGGGACAGCACCTATACGGACCGTAGGCGTCCAACCGCGTGTTCCTTGCTACTTTAAATGTAACTGATGCAGTTTTGGCTCTGCAGCACTTTAGGATGAAACAAAAATAACAACGACAGAAACCTTTCCATGGGGTAGTTAATACATGAAGGTGTACCCTGATCCATTGCATGCAGTTCCAATTTGTTGTTTTTTTGGGAAAAACTCGGTCAAACTTGAACTAAATAGTTTCGTTCCCCGCAGACTGCAATGCAGGGTGTGATACTTGACCGCAATAAGACTATGGTGGAGCCTGTTTGAGGCCGCTGCAAGGCTTCTCCCACTGCCGCGTGCCTGTGCTCACTCCACACCC